CAGCAGGCATGGTAGATGGATAAGATCATGGTAGCAGATGAGGAGGACATGGTAGATGGATAAGATCATGGTAGCAGATGAGGAGGACATGGCAGATGGATAAGATCATGGTAGCAGATGAGGAGGACATGGTAGATGGATAAGATCATGGTAGCAGATGAGGCTGCAGACATGGCAGATGGATAAGATCATGGTAGCAGATGATGAGGACATGGTAGATGGATAAGATCATGATAGCAGATGATGAGGACATGGTAGATGGATAAGTTCATGGTAGCAGATGAGGCAGCAGGCATGGTAGATGGATAAGATCATGGTAGCAGATGAGGAGGACATGGTAGATGGATAAGATCATGGTAGCAGATGAGGCTGCAGACATGGTAGATGGATAAGATCATGGTAGCAGATGAGGAGGACATGGCAGATGGGTAAGATCATTGTAGCAGATGAAGTATATATGGCAGATGGGTAAGATCATTGTAGCAGGTAAGGTATATATGGCAGATAGGTAAGATCATTGTAGCAGATGAGGTATATATGGCAGATGGGTAAGATCATTGTAGCAGATGAGGTATATATGGCAGATAGGTAAGATCATTGTAGCAGATGACAGCGTGATGCTCACCTTCTGGCGCGCCGCGTGCTCGGCCACCATGTCGCTGAGATCCTCCTTCTCCAGCTGGCTCTGCTGCTCCCGAACCTGCTGCTCATATCGAACCTTCATCGCCTCAGCGTCCAGCTCCAACTCTTCTGGCGCGAGTGCCAGCTCTACCCCCGCCTCCGGCACGGGACCCTTCTTTTGCCCCGGCGGCTAGAGGGGAGAGAAACACGTAACGTCAGCAAAAACGATATTTGCTTACTATACTAATAACCTGTTTGGTCAAGATGGTTTGCACACTTCCTCAGCCCTGGCGGCTGAGAACCTGACGAGACTACCAAAAGTAAAAATCAGTTATTCATCGCATACAAGGCACAGTGTTTTTCACAAAAGGCCCTTCAAGCTGATCCAGTGGAACTACCCACGTAGAGTTGACCCGTGCGTCTTATTCCAACATGTCTTGTGGTGACTCAGCGTACTAAGTGCCACCATCTATTGGTATATGATCAAGTCATCCACTTAAAAATATTCTAATCGGTCACGGATTCACAACATCCACCTGGAATGGCAACGCGTAGTAGTAACAACAAGTAACTTACAGCTGCAACGTCGTACACATGCTGAGATCCCATCATGGCGCCACCTATAGATGGTCCCTTCTTTTCTGGCAAAACCTGGTAGAGTTGAGGCGTCTCCCCTCTACAAAGAGTGAGAATAGACTATTACTGATGTCCCACACTTATCACTGAAGTTTTACATAAGCTCAAAATTCATTAGATCCACTAACAGTCTATCAGTGCGCAGTATCAATATAAAATCCACGGATAACACATAAATAAAAAATGTGACCAAGATTTAGTTAGTTGCCTCACCCCTCCATCAGTTCCTCTATCTTGCGCTTTCGGAGCTCTATCATGTCTGGTGTTTCCATGCCAGCTGGCATTGACGTAATTCCACTCGGAGTTACCAATCCCCTACAATAAAAAAAAGACTGTTCACAAGCTTACAAATCAACGCGGAACCTACCACGTGGACGTGAACATAAATGTAAAACCATCCGAAGTAGAACTGGCACAATCTGCCCAATACCAAAGGTGGCCCATCTCCATTGATCATTATGCAACCATTACATTCATCTATCCAGAGTTAGGGATCAGGGGGGCCATTGTCAGAAACATCGTAAAGTTAATGCTAATGCTATCCACAGTTATTAGGGATTAGGACGTTTACAAAAGAGAGCGAACTCAGCAGTACGACAATAAACAAAACCGCTGCATATCAATAAACACGCGTATGAACAGAACTGCTGCGTGTTAACGTCTATGTGCGGCAAGGACGACCACTAGCGATCTGCGCGCGAGCGGTGAAGTGACGTACGCGTCGCCGGGGGTTACGAGTCCGGACACGTCCGCCTCCTCTTCTGACTCCTCGCTCTCTTCCTCCTCCGACTCGCTCTCCGACTCAAACTCTCCCCATAGACTGCGGTCAATCTCTTCCGCCTCCTTCTGCTCCTGTACATGAACAAGACACGTAGAATCAGCATCGAATAAGATAGCGGCCATCTATCGGACAATTGTACTATCCACATAGCAACACCAGTGGCACCAGCGCGCAGCAGCACCAGTTGACATTTCGGAGTACACACGTGCTAAACCACTGACCAACCTAGCAACAATATCCAAGATGACCGCAATTATCTCGCTCAGACAGAATCAATACACTAACTAAGCAGCTATACGTAGAAACAACCCGTCACTAGTTTAAGCACCATTACTCCTCCTGCTTCTCGCACATTAAACTTTTTATCATTACCATTGTTAATTATTTATTTGCTTTTAAAATATTTTATTATATATTATATTATTTTGCAGAATAGAGTACATAGTCTCTTCGGCTCGTTGCGTGCAGATTACCTGAAAGTCACCGCTCTGTGTGCCAAACACGTCGCCATACAGGGGCTTGCCATTCTCATCCACTGGAGGCTTGCCCCAGCCACCAGCATGGTAACCAAACGAACATCCCTGCAATTTAGATGACATGGCTGACAAGCAGTTTATAGTACTTAAATTAAAGTAGTACTTAGTATAGCACTTAATTAACTGAAAATTCATTTTATGAACTACATAGGTTTAAATTGAACAGGGTGACTTCACTTTTAACACAGATAAAAAGTATTACACTTAAGACCCAAGCGATAAGTCCCAGAAGTGGTACGATTAGACTTGTTGATAGCCACCCATTTGCTGATAACTATGAACTACTGGACTCTGGGAATATCTGCAGGTAGTCACAATGTCACACGTACCTCTGGTATCGGTGCATTAAGGCCAGGCACCTTCAGATGAGGATAGGATGGCGGTGGGCCATACCTCTGCATTGCTATCAGCCACGGTGGTGGGTACTTGTTGGCATTCTGAAACAGCATCATAACACATGCAAAGACTGGACACCACAGCGCTGATATTTGTACCACATCATAGCTCACATGCTCTCTACACTATTTTATGTATGACTAACATCTTCTACTTATTCCAGTACTACCATTACTATTAGTACCACTACCATTCTCACTGCCACTTCCGTCTCCTCTGCCGCCACTGCTGTAGCCGCAACCAACACCACACATACCACTAATGCTTCATGCACAATTCAACAAAGCAATTCTCCATCAGTTTCGCAGGTAGTCTGCCAGTTGAGGCATAGCAGGCATAGCCAGGAACATATATGTAGACACTGCTAAGATCAGTATAATCTAGATACTTACTGCGCCTATAGGCATGCCCAACGCTGTGCGCAACTCATCGGATAGGTCTCCCGGCTTCTTCTCTTTTAATTTTGTTTCAAACTCTTTCCCCTTGAACAGAAGTTTATGTTTAAATATATGAACAAAGTAAACTAAAACTCAAAACTCAAATAACTGGTGCCAAGGCAACACATTAAGAATGGCTAGGACAGCTTACGAACTGATTATATTTCTGCCAGACCCTCAGTTCAAGGCTCACTAAATATATATTTTTTTTAATTAGGCAAACCTCGTAATACAAGTCTCCATGCATCGTCATTCTAGGCTTGGTCTGCCACCTGGTGGAAGAAAATAACAACAACCGGTTCAGCATCATCGAGGAATTAATTCTTCAATAACTGGCTTGGCATTTACAAAGCAATACTCTATTTAGTCGTTAATGTAGAGTTAAGAGGAGAGTGCTCTAACATCAACACAACCATTACTGCTATGCACGTGATGCTCTGCATCTACACGGATCTATCATCTAGCAACTGTGCGCATAATTGCATGATAATTACTGCTCTGCAACTGTGTCACAGAATTGACAGAGATTGCAAGTGTTGCTCTGCATCTCATTCTACACACACACATACACACAAAATCACATGAATCAACTGATCGTTCACCTGAAGAAGGCATCATGCAGCTTCTGGTAATCAATGTCAATCTTGCCAAGTTTCGGCCTGACTTTCTGCCTCATCTTAGATTTCAGAGTCTTCTGGTCTTCCTGCAATGTTACAACAACATGCTATTATTCTACGAACAATCTAGTACCTATACGATAAACCACAGTTCACATCTTTATATTGCTCTCACATGCACACAAAAAAGACACACACATACATTGTGCTGCAGAGTCCCTATACCTCTTCATGTTCTTGTGTTTGCAGTCATACACACCTCCGTAACTTAATACTCATTTTCTCCACATACCTAACTTTGCTATTATTCATACATGCATTCCTCTTCTGAATTCCTACACACCCCTGTACTGGATTCACATGTATTCCCAAATACCTTCTCCTGTAGGGCTTCCCTCATCTCCATGATTCCCGTCTTTTTGATAAAGTCCGGCAGCTCAAATGGAGGCTTCTCAATACCTCTCTTACCCTGCAGGTACTTGCGCTTGAAGCACCAGTGTCTAGGAACAGGCACAGTGTTTCTGTAAGCCTGTAAAGAGAATGCAACTCATAAACACCTAACAACTGTCTGGCTGGTACACAGAAATAAAGACGAGATATGCTCCAGAGGCGTAAAGACGAGTAGCACAAGCATGAGCAAAGAATGCAAATTTTAGGAATATAAAAAGGAAATAGAGGAAAGATGCAAAAGAGAGAAGCGGGACTTGAACTGATAGGCAGCAGGGAGATACAAAGGAGGCGGAATGAAAGAAGAGAGTGAGTGATGGAGTCAGGGAAGGAAGAAGGGAATTATGGAGAGAAAAATAAAAGGGAGGAAGTTAAGGACGGAAGAACAGAATGGAGCATATATAGATGGCTAGAGACAAAAGTGAATACTGGGTGATACCTTGAGATGAACAAGGAGTGTTGGGTCATGTGCAGTCACATCATGCATCTCTACGACATCGGCCCTTGTAACAACCTGGAACAGTGAACACGCAACAAGACAATATAGCATGGCAACACAACGCTGTTGTATGAAACCAACAGACTGATAACCGCATGCCGTACAACCAACAATATTATGCCAAGAATTAATACATCATTGGCTATAATGCAGTCGTCATGGTAGGGACTCACATACTACATTGATGCGATGCCATAATCACATGGCCTTTTTAAGCTACTTATTGAGCTTAATTAAGTTAATACTCCTGTACATGCTCCATAGTTCACAAGACTAACAAGTTAATGCTAATCTGCTCTTTAACTATATCAGTTACTACAAGTAAAAACACCAACCTTAGAAAACGACTTTACTATATTATAGTAAACACAAATGTTCAGTGTAGCTACACATCCGATGGAAAATTAAGCTGTAGGTGTTACCAAGCTGTAACACTGCGGCGGACTCTGTGATCAATGGAAGCTTAATGCTAGGACAACTCACCTGCTTAAGTTCAGCCACTGACATTCTATTAAGCTTCTTCCACTTCTTCTTGGACAGTTTAGGCTTGCCGTCATCATTCGGTTTATCCTACAAAATTAATAAACTCTAGATGACCCAAGAATGCAAGGAAGAAATTGATATATTATGATAATTATCCTCACCATCATCTTTACCATTATCATCATCATCAGGGTTCATAGTAGTAAGACACATGTTGAAATAAGGACTTATTTATAAATAAGACCCTTTCTGGAGGCCAAAATAAGACTTTTTTACGCGATTTCTGATAGATCATCGACTATTAAAGTACACTAATAATATTTATATACACAATTGCAGATTTAATTATTCCGTATTATTAAATATATATACAACAATTCTTACTCTAAGTCGAGAACAGTTTATAAAACAATGTTGAAAAATGGTCCTTTGGCAAAAAATAAGTACTAATAAGGGCCCTTATTTTATTTTTGGCAAAATAAGTACTTATAAGACTTTGGAAGACCCGCTACAAACCCTGATCATCATCATCATCATCATCATCATCTTAACCAGCATGATAGTCATTGTCAATCAACACAGTACAATCATAATCACAAACACACGCAAAACAAAAACTAGAAAGGGCAGTTGTCGCCAACTACATGTAGGACGTAGAAGGTAGGTAAAGTTAAATAAGTCACAAAGACAAAGGTTTGTTACACAAGCTCATCGCCTGAGATGCTGCAGTATGTTAAATTGGTTGCCTTAGGGGTTTTGGTTAACGCGAACACACCTTCTCCCAAGTGTGTAAGTATAACGAAGTTGTGTCGGCGCTAGGTCAAATTAGGGGCCGAGTTATAGAGCGGAACGGAAATATGATAAGAGGTCAGAGGTCAGGTCAATGTCAAATAAAGGTTGCAGTGACCTTGGTTTTCGGGTACGCTATGACGCACTTCCAAGTAAGATACCGTTTAGCTGTCAAGCGCCGTTAAGGATAGGAAATATTGTCAAGGTCATAATCGCAATAGTTTTGCGTAGCCCCCTCTCCCTAGTCCAGTTAGCTAGGGTCAATTGGGGTCGAGTTATAGAGCGGAAGGAAATTTCATCTGCGGCGGGACCGAGCGGTGGCTGTACAGGACATGAAAACCCTAGTATCTCCGCCGACTTCGCTCGCGAGGGAACAGATAACATATAAAAACAGTATAAATTATAAAGAGACAAACACTATTCGTATCTAACGGCAGGAAGAAAAGAAAATTTCATAGAGCCTACGTTAGGTAACCTCATCAGTCATCTTCCTCGAACAAACTCTTTTCGCGCTGCCGTGTCCCTCATAGGGATCTGCAGGTTCTTCCCTCTTCACTTCCCCTGGCTTTTCTCACTTCTCTATCACAGTTCAACTGGTTCACTTAGCTGTAAGAAATATTCGGCATAAGACGCTTGCAAATTATAAGCCGAGTCTTCAACCAGCTGTTTATAAGGATGCTGACAATTACTTTTTATCTGTATTGTGGTTCACAGCTTAAAGTTAATACCTCCCGCGTACCGTCGTGGCGTCAAGGCGGTTGCCTATCTCCTTTCGCTTAACCGAAGCCAACGCAGTGCTTTCACAGTAAATACTACAGTGGTTAGTCCACTGGTAGCACTGCGTCACAGCTTACAAGTACAATTAGTGCATTCGTTTTCATAGGACATCTCACATTGGTGCTGTGCTAACACATATATAATTATATCATGGAGAAGATTTCATGGCTGCGTACAATAGCTATCCTTGAAACAGCTTCGAATATCTTCATGAAGTGTCGATATCCAGGATCCGCTTGATTCAGGTCTAGCGTGTCTCTGATATACCTGCAAGGAGGAAGGACCGCAGCAATGATGAATAGAAGAAAGCGTAACTCCTGCATAATAATTCAGTAGTTCACATGACTGACGTACATGACAGAGCGCTAAGAGCTAAACATGAGTGTCAAAGTTCACCACGTAAAAGTGGTTCTATGACGATCCAATCCAATGACACTGATTGAGACTCATTGTGATAGTTAGAAATGAAATCAGCGTACTCCACTCCACGTCAGGGTTCGGGGTCAGATTGGTCATCTCTGGTCATCTATCCTCTCTCTTGCTGCAGGTCTTATTCTTGCTTCTTGCTTTCTTTTTCTTCTTTCTCTTCTTTGTTCTTCGGCTGATAACACACACGTTTTGTATACTTACTTGGATAGTGGGCGCAGCAGCTTAAATGAGAAACTGGTGCACGCAACTGACAGTGCATGTCCGAGGAGAATAACTGAAATTAGCTTTGGCGGGCGTTGCACAAGATGGAAGATGAGCTTCGAAAAGCGGTGAAAAGTACTTCTCACCATTCATCGCAGTAATTACATCCTTACTCGTTTCCTGTGCGACTGGCTGCAGTCTGTAGATTGTTCCCTCATAACGAAGGTCTTACCTCTCTCAGCAATCTCATTCTTCCGTCCTCTTCGCAGTCAGCCTTTCTCATTGCCTGTAGATTTCTGGAGGGTCGCTCATTGCGATCAACGGCCTGAGAAAGACAAGAAGTTACGGATTTCTTTTCCACATGTCGAAGATGTCGTGGTATAGAACACTGTACTATGAGACAAAGCTGGTCTAGGCTGCATTGGGAAGATCTCCACCGACTTCGTAACGCTCGCTCTGTGCTTGGAATTGCAAGAACTCCTTCTCAGTGCATGGGTAAAATATAGGCTTCTGATGATTCATTATTCCTCTGCCAAAACATGAGAAAAATATGTTAAACTGTCAAACTTGAGGTTTCAACTATCTCCCTATCGCTGAACTAACAGAAGAAACGGCTAGAGAGCATGGTAATGAACAGATTACTTGGAGGCAAGCTGGACTAAAATAACTTTTTGGTCAATTTCATAATAAATGATTCACCTTTGTGGTTCGGTACTCTGTGTTATATTATACGTTACCTCTCTGAACTCTAAACTCCCGGGTTGGATGATGTCCATCATCATCAGGGATGTGTAGTCTAGCTCCCCTTCTCCCCCTTTCTGTGCGCTGGGGCGGGAGGGCCCTGCCTACTTGTCCTAAGTGACATGAACGATAAATGCAATACATAAAAGCTACATAAGAAAAGTTAACATAAGCAAATGCAAACGTGTGTCGTGGCAAAATGGCCTCTGTCTATATTAACAGCGAACACTAGGCTACATCAGTCAATGACAGTCAATCACTTTATTTCCAGTGCTTGTGGACAACACTTTCAGCCATGCCATAAATTCACAACAACAAAATTTAAAATAGAATGTACATTAAGTCATTAGAATACATTGATTGTAAAAGAGATACGCGAATTCGGTGGTCCAAGCTGCTGCTGCTGTTTCTGCTGCGTCTGTTTGTTGTGCTGCTGCCTCGTTGCTGTTGTTGTGTTTGTTTGCTGCTCTGCTTTGCGGTTGTTGCTGTGTGTCGTTGCTGCTTGCTGTTTGTTGCTGCTGCTGTTGTTGCTGAAATCCGCTGCTGTTGCTGCCGATGAATTGCTTGCTGCCTCATTCCTCGGCCTTGATCCTCCCGCCTGTCGCTTCCAGTTAGCGCCCCTCTGCTGTTGCTCAAAGCATCTAGCTGCTCCTGCCGTGCCCTCTCAAGCGCTAATGCTTTCTGGTCAGTTCCAGTATCGGCCTGCTCTGCCTGTTTCTTCAAGAGAAGGTGCAGCTTGCAACAGTCGCAAAAACAGGTGATCACATTGTGTACAAAAAACTATGGTTATCATTCTCGAGTGTAAGATATCTGCTACAGGACAACCTGCGCTATTCAGCTGCTGTCTTCTGCTGCTGCTACAGACAGACCTGCGCTTATTCAGCATGTTCTCTGCTGCTGCTACGACAGACCTGTCTCTGGCTGGCTGGCTACAGACAAACCTGCGGCTTATTCAGCTGTCTCTGCTGCTGCTAAGACAGACCTCGTCTCTGCTGAGCTGCTAACGGACGAGGACCAGTCTCTGCTGCGGCTTGCTACGGACAGACCTGATCTGGGCTGTTCGGCTGCTGCTACAGACATACATGTACTGCTGCTGCTACAGACATACATGTACTGCTGCTGCTACAGACAACCTGTCTCTGCGCTCAAAGACCTGTCCGCTGCGCTACAGACAGAATGTCTCTGCTGCTTGTTACAGAACAGAACCTGTACTCGTTGCTGCTGCACAGAACAGACCTGTTCTTCTGCTGCTGCACAGAACAGACCTGCTCTGCGGTGATGCTCAGCAGACCTGTCTCTGCTGCTGCTACAGAACCTGTCTCTGCTGCTGTT